ACATGCTGAACAGGCTTCAGGCGTTGGATCACATTTTGCAAATCACAATATAGTTATATATATACATACATCATATAGTGTGTTATTAAGAAACAACACTAACTATATATATATATAGTTTCCTTGTTTGTTTGCTGACACAGCTCCCAAATCCTCCACTTGACCTGCCCACGACGGCAAGGTTGAGTCGCAAGAGTGCAGCATTTGCCCGGCTGGCACCAAGAGTAAGACCCAAGCTGCTAGTTGTACAGCGTGCCCGGTGGGAAAGGCTCCTTTGCTTCAGATGGCAGCCCTTTAAGCTTTAGACTTCATTGGGTTCAACCAAGCCACTGTCTGCTGTAAACTGGTTTAACGTCTAACTCGCACACTCGCATGTTCTGTGCCGATGGTTGCATGTGCAGCTGGTCGGACTGTTTCAGATGTCGGGCACCAGTGTAGTATATATATATATACACACACTCCACAGCTGTATAAAACATATTAAACTGCTACATGGGTGTACGCTCTTTTCCGCAATGAACATGCCCCTGTTGAAGTGCGGGTGTTCATTCTGTATAATGTGTGAGTAGCGAGCGGTAAGCCTTTGAACTATATGGGAGTTGATCTAAACCTCCGTGTAAGGAGTTTTTTGTAGAACAGCCTTTCAGATGTTGTTAACCTCATCCGCGGAAGATTCGCTATGAGGTTCGCGAAAGTGTCCTTTTTTGTCGCAAACGTCAGACTTTTTCCTTTGTACCGACCGACAAGTGCTAGAAATATAAGGCAATTCTCCGGCACAGCCGGTGGGCGGAAGTGTCCCCGCATCTCTCCAATGTCACAGACTAATTGCGTTCAGTCAAGACCCAGGCACACCCATGGTAACCTAGATGATCTGATCATCACACCGCAGTCGAGGGAGGGCTCAGGACTTGAGACCGCGAAGGTCAAAAGGAGCGCGGAAGGTGCGCTGTTTGCTAGTTGCCGGTAGGTGGCAATTCCGTCGCGCATGGTAGCGGAGCCAGGCCGGGGGGCTCGATAATACCCCGGCAACCGATGCCAGAGGACCGCGATTCTGTACCCAGCTGGGATGGCTCCCTTGGAACCTTTGAGTCTTATGTTACTGCCTGCAAGTGGTATTCGCAGGGGACAAAGGAGAGCGAGAGGAAACTAGTGGTGGCCCGTCTTTGGGGTAAACTGTCAGGTGCTGCGAAGTCGATAGTCCGATATGCTGACCCGGAACAGTTTGACAATGATGATGGGTTGAGCCAATTCCTAGCATTGCTTCGGGAAAGCCCCCTTCAGCGTCTACCGGTTCCAGACAGTTTTAACAGATTGGACAAATGGAGCAATCTCAGGCGTGCAGAACGGGAGACGGTGGCCGAACTGATCGTAAGGGAGGAAGAACTGTTCACGGAGCTACAACAGTCTTTGGCCAGAGCCAGACTGGATAGGATGTCTCCTGGACAGGAATTCCTTCCCACTCGTCCAGCTGTTCGTGTTGATCCACCGTCGACGCCATCGAGGAGCCCAATGTCAGGAAATCGTGCTGGAGAGGAGAGAGGACGTGACTTGGGAACACAGACATTTCCCTCAGCAGGTCCGATCCACTCGACCCCAATGGTCGCTTCAGGAGATTTCTTTGAAGGTGAGTTGAGAGGTTATCGACTGTTGCGTGCATGTCGGTTGAGCGGCCATGAACGACAGAACGTGTTGGTACAAACATCAAACTCCACCAGCTTTCATCTTGTGAGGCGAGCGTTGAGGACATTGTACAACGATGAGACATCGGAGAGACAACAAGTTGCAAAGCGGATTTGGTGGACAGACAGTTTTGTTGGACAGGATTGGTACGATGAAGATCACATGGAGTTATCGTCAGATGATTTGTGGTGGTGTGATTGGGCATGGAGCGATTGGCCACAAGAAGAAGACAGTAGTCCATCGTATTGGACGGGCGAAGATTGGACAGAAGACTGGTGGCAGGATGCTTGGTACGTCGAAGACGAAGACCTTCAACCTGATGAGACATCAGCAGACCCAGAGGAAGCGCAGCTGTCAGAGGCTTTTGCCATTGCCAACGAGGCGAACAGGACACTCAAGGAAGCACGTGAGGCAGTTCGGAAAGTTCGGTTGGCTCGGGGGTATTACGCACCAGAGTCGAGTTCACGAAAGGGGAAGACAAAGCATGGATCGAAGCCGAGCTCACCAACATCCAAAGGTGGATCGAAGACCCATCATGGACCATGCTTCATCTGCGGAATGCCAGGACATGGCTATCAACAGTGTCCTGACAGATTTGCACCAAAGGGCAAGTCATTTGGAGTTGGCAAGGGAGCAAAAGGGAAGAGCAGCTTCGAAGGAAAGGGCTACAACAAGGGTTTTTCTGGAAAGGGATTCAAGTCGTCGAAGGGCAAGACATATTTCTTGTCGGGAATGTTGGCTCAGTGGGATGAACACACCTCACATGGTCGGGCACCAACCAGGGCGATTTTGGACAGAGGAGCAACCGAGAATGCGATCGGGATTGACTCACTGCATGATTAGGTGGTACATGGTCAGTTCCAACCACAGCGACAGCGAGAAGGAGATGGTGCCGGGATCCCCATCAGCCTTGCCGATTCAGGCCAAGAAGGAGGCGCAGGATCGAAAGGAGACGCCATCCAAGGTGGAGATCAAGACCGGCAAGGAGGGCTATGGAACAGGATCTGGGCATTGAGGAGGAGCATGGATCGAAGCCGCGAGGCATGTGAGAAGGGAGCCGCCCCTAGGGCATTGGCGGCACACGACACACTTCGCTTGGGCAACCCCCAGATTCTTTGTGGAAATGGGAGGGTTGCCAAGGTGGCCCACAAGGAGCACCACGAGCACTACGAACCACGAATCTGGCACATCGTTCGGGATGAGAAACCAATGATGGTCACACGACATGGCGCCTGTGAGGAGGCCATAGCTCATGCCCAAGTCCATCGGCATGGCATCAATTCGATCGAGGCAGCAGACAAGACCCAATCGAAGAAGAACATCGTATGGCCTGGCAGAAGATTGCTACTGGGGTCGCTGTCTTGGGAGCCTGCTTGACCTGTCCGGTCCAAGGGCTCATGGGACACATCTCACAGTCCCACGATTTTGTGGAAGTGGCGTGTTCTCCAACCTCGGCTTTGACATCGAAGATGGAGGAGATGGGATACCACTGCAAGAGGTACAACTACCTTGGAGGCTACGACCTTGACCGGAAGATCGGCGCGAGGATGCTGAGCTTGGAATTCCAGTCCCATCCACCTCGGCTGAGCTGGGTGTCCCTTCCATGCACCAGACTTTCACCTCTACAGAACCTCACTCCAATGGTCTGAGGAGGAATGGGGCAAGTTCGAACGATGCCAAGGTCAAGACTTGAAGAGAGCCGATGAGGTGGCAGAAGCAGTGGAGATGAGTTTGGAGGCAAGGGAAGATGCTGACTTTGCATGGGAGTGGCCTACAAGGGCAATCAAAGGATGGAGCTCAAAGGTGATCAGACGCCTACTCCGGGTCATGAAGAAGCTGGGCAGGCCAGTCTACTGGTGTCGCTTTCATGGCTGCGCCTACGGCTTGGAGTACAAGGGCATCTTCCAACAACCCAATCTGACCCAAGTCCAGGCAGCTGCACCTACTATGAGCAGGGTGTCTCGCAACATGCTCCTATGCCTAGCTGCCAACTGTGGGTTCAAACTTCGTTCAGGTGATGTCACGTCTGCCTTCTTGCAGGCCAAGAAGTCGCTGGAGCAAGAGGATTTGATTGTTTGGGCGCCGCCGGAACTGGCAGTTCTCTATGGAGCAGATCCGGCGGGATCCATGTGGTCGGACTGATTGGAGTCCATGTGGACGATTTCCTCCTGGCCGGCTGTGATGGGAATGCAGTGTTTGATGAGGCCAAGGCCAAGTTGGAGCAGTCCTATAGGTGGGGCCGTTGGGATGAGAAGCAATTCACTTTTGCTGGTGTCAGATCAACCAGAACGACAAGGAGATCCACATTGGACAGTCAGACTATGCAGAGAACTGGGTGGAAGAGATTGAGGTGAGCAAGGAGCGAGCCACGAACCGGAAGGCGGTGGCAACGCCCTCAGAGATCAGCCAACTAAGAGGGGTGATAGGCTCACTCTCATGGCAAGCCTCCCAAACAGCTCCACAGTTCCAGGCCGACGTAGGCCTGCTGCTTTCAGAGGTGCCGTATGCGACGGTGGACACGCTGCTTCGGACGAACAAGCTGGTTCGCGAAGTGCGCATGGTGCCTCAGACCCTGGTGTTTCCCCACTGGAATGTGCCTTGGCAGGATTTGAGCATAGTTGTTTGGTCCGATGCCTCGAACTCGAATCGGCCGGACAAGAGTTCCACGATGGGCATTGGGTGGCTGCGCTCCCAAGTCAATCTTGGAGGGAACCTCGCAGCAAGTGGCACTGATCACTTGGCGCTCCCAGAAGACGCCAAGGCAGGTCCTTGGAAGCAATGGGGCCGAAGTCCAAGCAATCACTGAAGGTGAGGACTTGTGCTTTCGCCTCAGGGCGCTCCTGGCAGAGATGAGCGGAGAGTCGGTGAGCCGACAGAACCTGTACCGGATGGTACGGGAGAAGACACAAGGAGCCCTACAGTCATGGACTCCCGGGGCATCTACGACGCAATGACACGGAACGTAAGCTCTTTGCACGGGCTGCGATCCGGCCGGTCTGGATACGAGCTTGCGTTGGCTGTCGCTCAATCCATGGAGACAAGCCTCAGATGGGTCAACGGCGACAGGCAGCTGGCAGACCCCCTGACTAAGGGGGGAGTGGCAAAGAAGATGATGATGCAGTTCCTGGCTAGCGGCCAATGGTGGACACTCGTGCATGACCCGATGTTTGTGTCGGGGCGCAACATGCGCAAGAAGCAACTGCAAGACGAGATGGCGAAGAAGTTCGTCGAGGAGGTCCACTCCTTAGCGGTAAGACACCGCTGGCCCTGGCCTGAGGTGCATGATCAGAGGATTTTGGGGGATGCGTTCAGTCAAGACCCATGCACACCCATGGTAACCTATAGATGATCTGATCATGACACCGCAGTCGAGGGAGGGCTCAGGACTTGAGACCGCGAAGGTCAAAAGGAGCGCGGAAGGTGCGCTGTTTGCTAGTTGCCGGTAGGTGGCAATTCCGTCGCGCGCTAATGAACTGAAGCCTCAATGTTTCCTTGCCCACCCTCGCAAAGCGTAAAGGATTCTCGGATTCCTGTCCCCAGTGTCATAGAGTAGCAATCTGACAACTTGTATAACTTGTCCTTGGGCAGCCCTGACAGTGAGGCAACGACCCGCAGCTCTGACGGGTTGTGCAGATGTCTGCACATGTTATGTCTTTGCAGGCAAACACCAGTGAAACTTTGCGAACAAACTGCGAAAACTTCACGAATGTGTCGCTAAAGTCCAAGTTCCAAGCTTGACGCCTCCCAACATACACCGAGCTGCATCACCCTGTGTTGGTAGCTGGCACGAGGATTGGCTGAGCTGTGCCTGACTGTCTTCTGGCAACTCTTGTGCTGGGGTCATGCTGCAAGATGTCAGTCCCTATTTAGTGATACAAACATATACAGCTCCAGCTCATGTTAACTAGACACAGCTTTAGTTTTAGGACCATGCTTCGCGATGAGGCCGCGAAAGATCCGCGAAAGATTCTCTGTTTTTCGCGAAGAGTGGCCATTCCATCATGACAAATATTGATCAGCCACCATATGTTGAGGGCATTGTAATTATGGCGTTGATTTTCAGATGATACGTCTTTGTTGCATCTATACACTTTCAACTGTACAGAAGTGTTTTGACTAGTTAGTTGGCCCGCACGTGATGAAACAATAAGTTTGGTTGGCGTGGTCTAGAGTCTACAATGCAACGTATTGACATCCACAACAGCTCCAATTGCATCACTTTGGAGCACAGCTTGCCAGTGGGATTTGTCAGTGCTGTGTTTTTGGCTGGATTTGATTGTCACCTGTCGCAAGTGTAGCTGAATCAGAGTGTTGTGCAAAGACCAACTAGGCATGGCCTCCAACCTAATAGCGATGGCCTCCAACCAAGAGTCAACATTGCGGCATACCTCTTGTAAAGCACCTTTTGCTTCGAGGTGAGCGCTGCAAACTCGAGTCGGTGCACCACTTGCCCGCATGGAAGATACGCACCAACTCCAGATGCAACCTGTACCCGGTCCAAAACTAGTCTTTAGTGCACACCCCACTCCGACAAGCTTTGTGAACATGTTCGGGCATTGAGTGGTGGTCTGAAAGAAGTATTCTTTGTGCGCAAAGGTATGAAATGCCCAGCGGGTACGTGGAGCAATCCGAGATCTTCCGGCTGTACCGAATGCCAACCTGGACGTTGGAGTCATCCCGGCTCACGGGACAGATGGTAAGAAACAAAAAACTTTGGAAGTGCAACAACGAGCAAAACATAGCAGATTTTCAATATGTTATTTTTGGAGACTGCTCGTGCCGACAGGATTGTGCTGCTTGCCCTCCAGGCACCTTCATTGTGGAGGGAAATTCGACTTGCCAGCAGCGTCTCCAGCAGTAGAAACTGTGGGTTGCTGAAGAAACTAACTAGTCAGTTAGGCCTTGAGAGCACTTGTTTTGTTAGACTTCTGGGAGCCTAGGCCATGCCCTCACAGACATTGGAGCTTTGAAGCCTCTGTAGCTTGGTCTGATCTGTGGAAAGGTCTTATATTTTGAACTTATCTCATCTGAAAGAATACATTGCATACATACCGTAATCCTTCATGATTGACACATTGACATTAATGATTAATAACTAATACATCAAGCCGCAAGCCTTTGCCTGAACTCTTCAGATGGAGTGTCCTGGAGGGGCTTTGTTTTGTTAACAGCAGGATGGCTGTGCTCCACTGGGTTCGGGTGCCTGGAATACACTTCGTGTGCAGAACTTGCATGATGACTCCTCCAGGTCGGGCATTGGTACCATGTGTTGCAAATTTGCGATTACACTGGTGCTATATTACTAGTAGCTTCTTGTTACTAGTATATAGTAATGCTATTGTTACTTACTAATTAATAGCGATGCACTTCTTACTAGTAGCTTCTTGTTACCAGTGGTGTGATTGCTGTTAGGCTTCCAGATGGCGTCGGTCTGAATCGTTGCTGGACTCGACAACTTGCTCAAGCCTTTTTGTACTTAATTTGCGTCCATTTGATGTCTAGTGTACTCATAGCTGTTGCTAAGTGTAGCTTTTTTAAAACTGCACCCAAAACAGAGCCAAGGTTGGTTTGAGATTCGACCAAGGGATCTTTCAACTGATTTTTGGACCAAAGAGTCGAGGGAGGATGCGCCTGACTTGTGAAAATGCTTACGACCCAGCTTGAGACGCGTGGATGAGAATTCTTATATAATCAAACACAATCTACAGCCTCTATTAAGTGTGATGAAGCAGATGAAGCATATATCATATACATGTGAAAATAGGATGCCATAATCGAGTGTTGTAACAACTCAACTGCTTTGCTTATGAACACTTGGCTTCAGAGAATCAGCTTCTTTATATAAATGCAGCAGAAATGGGACATGTGGGCATGCCGACAGCAAGAGTGGTTTCAGTGGACATCTAACACTCTGCAGAAACAGAGCAGAACAGTTTGAAAAAAAAACGCAGCTTTGGGCCAGCTTCAACGATGGGTAATCATCATGTCGCAGTCCGAGAACGTAAGAAGTTAACAAGACGCAGGAACAGAGGGTAAGGGCCTCTTAGTACGACCCCTTTAAACGGGGCCTCATTCAAGAAGCCCTTATTTTTAGTTTATCTACTTAAATTCAGTTTATATGCCAAAGGCCAAATATGTTTAGTTGCCGATGCTTGAGGCAACCGGGCATGCCTTCAACCTTTGTGGCTGTACAGATGTTTTTGGCTTCGAGGGAAGTGCCAAGGCGCCGTTCTTGTTTTTCCAATCCAGATACGCTGGCTCAGATGCTTGCGAGGCTGTCATCAACATGTATGATATCAAGTTCGGGTCAAAGTTTGAGAAGAGCCGAGATGTTTCAAATGTCACACTCCGTTTCTTTGACATTGCTACACTCCGTGTTTGAAGTTTCCTTTTCACGACATGTTCCTGGAGTCTCCGAGGCCTTGGAATGCACGAAGTCTCATCCGTGACAGGTTGAACCGACAAGGAGACCTGGCACGGACCTCTCCGCTGCGGAAGGTGCCAGTAAAGGAGCCCAGCCTGAAAGTGGCCACCGAACAAACAAATGATACAACACGTGTGAAAGGTTGCACGAACATGTCTGTGCTTTTGACCGCGGTTGATTCACAGGGTTGACCGCGCTCGCCTCGAGACCACGGGGCATGACTACCGCAAAAAAGGCGGTGACTACTGTTTTACCTTTTCCACTTTGCGGCGCGTGTCGTTCGCTTGGCTCCGCCTACCCACAGTGGTAGCGGAGCTATGGCTCCTGATCCATGGGCGATCACGATGGCGTGGGCTTTTGGCGACTCAGCGGAATCGCTCTCTGGCGCACGTCGGCCTGGTGCTGCACCAACGGCCGCGGGTCAAGGGGAGCGCGACGCTCCTCCTGCCTTCGATGTGGCTTGAAAGGACTGGCAACTTTGGCAGCCGAGGCCGAGACGCCCAAGGAGAAGCATGGAGCGAAGCTGATCCGACAACTGTCGCGCATGGCCAGGGCAGCTGCGGATGAGGTCCCACTGAACGACATGATGCCCAAAGAGCAATTCCAGCCCTACGCCGACAGCGCCTCCTCGGGCTTTTGAGAAGGCCATCTACGGGGATCCGGAGAGTCGTTCCAGGACTATGTTCTTCAGATGGACGCAGCTTGAAAGAGCTAGCAGAGAAGGGCATGTCTTTGAATGAGCAGGTGAAGGGCGATGTTCTTTTTCGCCAATCCAACTTGTCACAGGCCCAGGAGGATCAGTTGACCGCATGGTGCTGTAGCAATGACCGGGACTCCATCATCAAGGGGTTGCGCCGCCTTAGAAGGTCATGAAGGAAAAGACCACCAAGACACACTTCAACAAGAAGCTTGAGGATCCCGATTTCACGTTCTTTGATGAGGGCGAGGGCACGGACTATGTACGGGTTGGTGACGTAGACCTTGACCAGGTATTATGGAAGAAGCAGACCTTCAAGTGACGTTGGCCACCTATCAAGAAGTCCGTCGAGCACTACAGGCTCAGAAGACCCAACGGCATCAATGGCCTCGTGGAGATGGAGGAAAAGGTGCTAGCAAGAAAGGAAAGGATCAGTATGGCCCAATTCGACCTTGCTCAGAACATATTGGCCACTGGGCGAAGGAGTGCACCGGCAAGCCAGACGGCCACAAGAGCAAGAATGCCTCGGAGAACTTCCCAACCAAGACCTCAACAGCGCGTTCCGGATTTTTTAGTGTCTCACATCACTGAAAGGGAGCTGGTCGCATGGATGGGCAGCTCATTTTGGGGCACTTCTTCAAGTGGCAAGCACCAAGACAACATGGTTGAGGAGTTGTGCGGTTTGACAATTTTCCCCAACAAGGAGTAGTTGACACGGTGGCGCAATCGGGTTTGGTGGGTCAGCTTGCTCTCCAAGGGCTCAAAGCTTCTTTGCGGGAACAAGGACTACGTGTAGTCTTGACAAGCTCGAGGCGTTGGAGGGGAAGCCAAGGTGGTTGGTGTGGTGGAACTTCGTTTGGGTTTTGGTGGTGTTTGTGGTGTTTGTGGGATCCTGTGTTGCTCCCGGTTCGTCAGCTTCATGCGTGTGTCGATGTAGCGGGCAATCAACGGACGCAGAAGGCAAACGTAACCATGCCCACTTTGAACAGCGGACGCGCAGCAGTTGATGTTTGTTGGTTTGATCAACATGGATGGCAACTGCCAAAGGAGGCCGAACAGCTAGGCAGGCGTCGAGAAGAGTTATTTAAATTTTGTGGCGAGCTCAAAAGAGGATGCGCGTGTCCATTGCCGTGTGTACTGAAGCTATGTTGGGCACGAGTGTTTTGACGTGCGATCAACCCCGGAAAGAGCACGGAGCAGCGCGAGCGCAGCCGCATGGAAGTCGAGGAAGAGAAGGAGACGAAGCCACAGGTGCTCCTTCGATGGTGCAAGCTGCTCAAGGGTGTTTTCCAGTTGTTGGAGCAATGGATGAACGGAAAGGCGTGGAGGCGTCGCCAAAGCCGTTCTGATCAAGGCCCTGGAATAGATCAGCTCCAGAGATGAGGAAGAGTGGAAGGAATGCGCGGTCGCTGCGCAAGGAGCCAAGAACCGACTCTTCGATTGATCAGGAATCTTGCCAGCGCAAAGACATCTGCAAAACAACGTGAGGATCCCAGGAAGCCTGGCCAGTGATGACCGGCTTATAGGCGCAAGTCTAGTGAGTGGAGCCGCCAGTGAAGAGATGAGAAGGTCACTCACCACTAAACAGGCTGCCGCGGAGGCTTTTTTCAATCAGACAGCAACAGAAGCGCAGTTGCCCGAAACAGGGTGCAAGACATCCTGCCAGGCGACGTCGTTTATGTCTACCAAAAGCCTCTTCCTCGCCGTGGCCACCTTGCTGGGTCGGATCAGGAACCATGATCTTGGTGGAAGGAAGAAATTAAACGCTTGGGTGTGAGGAATGCCACCCCAGAAGAAGAAGACGCGCTCGGCATGCTGAGAGAAGAGTTTCATGAGCTCAGAGAAGTCATGATACAAGGATATCTCCACACGGGAGTGGCCGCCAGAAGAAGAAGAAGGAGAAGAAGAAGAAGAAGATGAAGAACCACCCCGACAAATAGCGCCGCAGAAGATGAGCCAGAGAAGACTCACTCAAGAACAGGTCAAAGAGGCAGCTCAATCAGTGATAAGGAACAAGCAGCCGGACGGCGCTATTCCATCAGCCAAGGCCAACCAGGCATATGAGCCCTATCGACAGAAGCTGATGTCCGGCGGAGGCGGCGGAGGCCCTACGATGACGAGCTCTATGTCAAGAGCGCGAAGGAAGACCTGGAGGAAGATGAAGAGAAGAATGAAGGCGAAGACTTCTGGATGTTCGAGGCCAAAAGGCGAAGGCTCACCCGAAGACATGTGCTTGAAAGGGCACACACCTTCAAGCCTTTCGAGAAGGAATGTCCCACCAAGCTGAAGAATCTAACTTCCCACCGAAAGACTGTCAGGTTCTATATGAAGATGGCCAAATGATCTCAAAGGGGAACTGGCGAGAGAAGAAAGGAGGAGGAAAAGAAGCAGCCCACCAAGAAGTTGGACAGGCTATACCGAATTACACTTGAAGAGTGGCCTTCATTTCGAAGACGAAGAAATGTAAGTCTAGTCTGGATGGTGAAGAAGGGAAGTGATGAAGTCGACGAGGCCAGCGGCCAGCGTCACAGCTGAAGAGTGGCCAAAGTGGAGAATCTCTGGCAGAGAAGAATGGAACAAGGTCCTCAACACTGGATCAGTGAAGCCGTTGTCTCCCTCGAAGTGGAGAACAATCGAGGGAGGCCAATAGAAGCTCAAGAACTTTACCATCCTGCATAGTGCGAAGGTGGAAGCCGAAAGTCCAGATGGTGCATGCGGGGCGACAAGGGCCAATTTGAGCAGGTATGCGCCAACGGTGACTGCTGCAGTGATTGCTATCACATTTCAAGCGTCTGCAAATCGAGGACTCGATGCAAGACCTACGCCGGGGGTCTCAGGATTGCTTTCGCGCAGTCAGACCTACTAGTCACCGAACAGCTCATCGAGATTCTGGCTGGAGCAAATGGGGGCAGCTGAGAGGAATCATCGTCATAGAAGTGGACGACCTGCTGTGCTTCGGAGATGAAGGTCATGACGTCAAGCTGGAGGAATTGAGAGGACGCTTCAACTTTGGCAAGTTTGTTGATCTGGCTTAGCCAGAAGGAGGCTATGTCATCAACGCGCTGAAGTACGTGAAGGAGCGACTAGATGACTAGATGAAGTGCCTCTGGAAAAGGGGAGAAAGGAGGAAGAAAAGGCAATGGAAGAAGAAGTGGCGCCGCGCTGACTTGCGGCCGTGGGCCGAAAAGGGGGGAAGACCTGATGGAGCTGCTGGGCCCCCCTTGATTGCTGGAAGTTTCAATCAGCTCAAGGTCAAAGACGTCCAGGACTTGAGCCGCATGATCCGGAGGTCAAGAAATACCAGCGTCCAGATCCAGCCGCCCTCCGAGGCTTTGGCGTGCTGCGTGGGCAAATGCTGGAAGTTCGCAAGGGGGGTTCGCCATTCTATGCTAACACGCTCCTGGGAGTCTACTTTTCTAGAGATCCGGGAAGATGCAACGTGTGGTGAGTTCCACGCTGGCCGCCGCGAGGCACAGAGTCTTGCTCGAGGATTACAAGAACTTGCATGGGCGACCACAGTGTACAACGAGCTGACTCAGCCGCACTTTGAGCTCAAAGAATGGAATGTAGCTGTGCGAAAAGGAGGCTGCACGCTTTGTCGCACGATGAGATGTGTGACAGCTTGAAGAAGGGACTTTTCTTGGCCGCCGCAAAGTCATTGTTACCTAGTAAAGAGCACAGTGGGAACGACTGATGACCGACGCGCGGCGATTGAGATGCAGATTGCCCGCCAACTGATGTGTGAAACTGGCACGGCGATCAATGGACCAGCCATGAACAGATGATCGTAGATTGCTTGACGAAGCGTTTTGGCAATGCTGGTACGCTGTAACTGTATAGGTATCTGGAAAGTTTTGTGATAGACTTTCGCAACTGCGGTCAACAAGGTCTGGTTGAAGTCTGTGAACGGTTGCGCGAACATGTCAGTGCTTGTGACCGCAGTTGATTCACAGGGTTGACCGCGCTCACCTCAAGACCACGGGGCATGACTACCGCGAAAAAGGCGGCGACTACTGTTTTACCTTTTGCGCTTTGCGGCGCGTGTTGTTCGGTTGGCTCCGTCTGCCCACAAAAAACCACATTCACGAGCAAAATTTCTCCAAAGTTTTGATGAGATTGGACCGTTGGGGCTTGCATTGGAGTTGATGAGGGAGTTGTTGAGTTCTATCATCGCTTTTTTTCTGGCCTACCCTGATCAAGGAAGGACTGGACTACTTTCGGCAGAAAGTGAACGGAACCTGGTTTGGGCCTTCATCTGAGCTGCAAAAGGAGAAATTTGTGGATGCTCGGCGCTGCATATTGGACAACATTTACATTGGAGTGCAGTTTTCGGCACTGTCCTCCTTCTTGCGGCAAACTTGCTAGCTTGTGCTCAGGAGACTATCGTGATGCTTTTAGGCCTCGTACGCACACGAACCGTTCACTGACACTGATTGTGTCTGTCCTTCAGACTTGTGCATTGTGGTCTTTCGGACATCAGGCCACTTGGATATACCCCACAATCCAAAAGAGAGGGAAGACTTGTACCAAGTCTTTGATTCTATGGACTTTGATGGGAGCTCTGGGCAGCACATTGGAAACCACATGTATGGCTTACCTGATGCCAAGGCTTATGCAACACATGATGCAGAGTGAACATAGGCTTGTCCATTGATTTGAATGAGGAATGGCTTACTGAGTACTGGTGAATGGGCAGCTGGCCTCTCTGTCTACTTCAAGGGTTCCATGGAAGAGGCTTGACCTTTGGCAAGCAGCCTCATATGCACAAGTATAATAGCGATGGCGTCCAACCTAGTAGCGATGGTCTCCAACCTAGTAGCGGTGGCCTGCAGCCTAGTAGCATGGCCTCCAACCTAGGAGCATGGCCTCCAACGTACGAGCGATGGCCTCCAACCTAGTGCATGTACAAGAGTTAGGACACTTTGTTTTCTGTATGTGTCTTGAGCTTCCTGGTGGGTGTGCCACATACTACTGCCCAGAGGGAGGCTGTGTGAATGGCTTTAAATTGCGCCAGGCTGTTCGCGCTGTTTTTAGTGGCATGTCTGCACATAGTCATTGTGAGGTCACTTCCACTTTCTTTCTGCCACCATACGTGCATGCAAAGGTTGCTTGGATGCCAACGGTGACGGTGCGATATCAAAATCAGAGCTGCAGGCCAAGGGCGGCCTGGATCCATTTTTAACTTCAAGTGAGTCTCACGATCACACAGGGTAGTTGAATTCAATTCAAAGTATATACATTGAAGCATTGAAACACAATACCGTTTGCGTGTTTGAGCATCGGACGCAGGTTTACCTTTCCCCCTTCGTGAAAGCCATGTCTCCACAAGAGGCAGCTGCACTTCGGCCACTTCTTGAAAAAAAGGCACAGCAGACAACGACTGTATGCGGACAAATACAACAAGTAATACAACTTACCTTGGGAAATTGATCCAAGGACCACCTCAGTTCGGGGATTCATTATGTGGATTCATGTCCTGAAGTTTTGCAAAATCCTGGAGGGATCATGATAAGAAGTTGTGCAAAATCACTCAGAAAAAGTTTTGATTAAGATTAATAATTGTATACTGTAACTATTAACTCACCACGGGGTGGATTCAAGGGACTTGACTACCGCCTGAATTTCTTTTGATTGAATCTGAACTCGCTGCGCTATTTTTTTCGTCATTTTTGTGCTGGTCCTACAAGAACAGAAGAAACAACAAAGTCTTGTTTGAGTTTCAATTTGATAGAGATGTTATATATATACACAGATATAATCTTACAGTCAAGGAAGAAATGGACACAGGCCTGAGTAAAAGGAATTAATCTGGGGTAGGGGGTAGATGAATCCCCTCTAATGTAGGGGGAATAACAATTACATTTGGTTCGGAGAGTTCCGTTTTACGTGCAGGCGCAAACAGCATCCACCGAATGCGTATGTCCTTCCTTCAGTACAGTTTACTCCGTGTTCTTTAAAAATCCAACGCATTTCCTTCTGAGGTGCTGCTTTTTCCCAAATGCGTAGCGAAGGGTTCTCGTTTAACTCTCTCGGGGTCTCAAAATAGAGCCTGTGTTCGCATGACGCTGTTTTCACGTCCGCAACTGTCCACAACCGTTTGAACGTGAAGAAGAAGGCTCTCCCGTTGGGGGAAGCTTTTGGAGAAGGTTTTGGATGGAAGCATGAAAGAAGTGTCAGATTCCTGTGAGGTAGCGCAGACATGTAACATGTTCAAGGGTGAAGGATGAGTGTGCTGCCCAGGTGCAGCCTTTTGTGAGATCAGCACTTTGCATTGCCCTGCCATTGGGATTGGCGTTCTCAGATTAGGGCTTGCTTTTGAAGCACTTGCCTTGAAGCTATATTTTTGTGACAAGTCTCAGGTAAAGCTGCGATTCTGAGGCATGGGTGAAGCAGCAATATGTGTGACACGGTCGGTGCAAGTTTTGCTAGAGATGATGAGATGTCAAGCTGCCACTTTTCGTGGCAGGGGCAGTACTTAGTATTTTGTCCGTGTTACTGGAGGCGGTGCGGGGGTGGGAGGTGCAGGGAATCGTGGGGTTGCGAGGTTTGGCGCCAGTGAGTGTCGTCGTGCCATTGGGATTGATGTCTTGGCGGCTACCTTTCAACGGACTGCAAAGCTGCTTGGGGTTTCTGGACGTTTTTGCTCTGATGAAGCTTCCCACTTCACTTTTGAACGAAGACTCGTACGAAGCGCTCGTTTGACTTGGGGAATGACGCATCACTTTGGGAGGAAGTCTCACGCGCGCTCGTTTGGAGACTTGACTCAGCACATGACTCTTGGAGGAGGTCTCGTACGAAATCCTTTGTGAAGGCTTGACGGCTTGACGTGTCACTTTCTTTTGCAGGGTGATCTACCATCCCAACACTGCGGAAAAAGGTGCGGAAAAAAGATGTCCTAGAGTGCGCAAGATTGTCGAGCAAAGATGTACACACGTGTTCGCTCATCAAGAGTGTCTCCAAAAGGCGTGTCAAACAAGAGTGTCAAACAATGTTTGGCCGTTCGTGTTTGTGTACGTGTGTGCATTCGGGTTTGTGGGCTTCATCGCGCTAGTTTACTGGTGGCAGCTCGCTTTCTGTCTTCTACCTTTGTAGTTTGTTTGTTTGTTTGTTTGTTCGTTTGTTCGTTTGTTCGTTGGTTGGTTGGTTGGTTGGTTCGTTCGTTCGTTCGTTCGTTCGTTTGTTTGCACGCCTCCTATTTTCATTCCTGATTTCCTCTCAGCTGTCCCTTCCACTCCCCATTTGGGCACAAATTGACTCGGCAGAGCCATGGGTAGAAGAATTAGAAGAACACTGAACGTTAAGAGTGTCAAGAGGGTCAGGCAGTGCAGGCCTGCTTTGCGACTGCTAGGCGGTGGATGATATTTACTATGACATGGACATGGACCATGCTGCTGACATATCAAGTGACGAGATGCTGGCGTGGAGCAAACGAGGTAACAACATAGTGGACAGGCTTGCAGACATTATTGATCAAGAAGTGTATCAGATTTGGCTATCGGAGTCGAAAAAGAGGTCAAAGAATATGAGGCGCAGTTCTGAATCGTGGCCAGAAGGCCAACATGGCGCATTCAATCCACAAGAGGCAGGGATGATTGGAAGTCCCAATGGGACGATGCATGGCACAGGGAGTCCCATGCACTCGGAGTATGGACCGGCACCCTCCTACTCGAGTGGTTCTCCTCAAGGACAAGACCAATCAGGTGGTTGGTTCGGAGGATTCTTTGATGGTCAAGAGTCGCCAGCCTCCAGGACTTCAAGGGCAATACCAGAATGATCACGCACCGACCTTCACCAGCCGCCAATTGCAAAAAACAACAATGCCAGTTCTGTGTCATTAGAAAGAAGTGCTGATTTATGCATGTAGAATTCTGTATATAGAACGAAGATTAATGAAGCCCGTTCATGAAAGTTCAAAGAAGCTCCCAATGTCGTGAGAGGAGCCCAATGTCCGGCCCACCTACCGCTCAGACTGCACCGCCGTCTGCACCACTGCCTCCTTCGCCTCCGGCCGATCTACATGACCCTTTTGCTTCTTGAAGTCACTGGAAGGTTATCAACCAGGAAACATACCCCAGCAGAAATTGGTCTTGAGGGGCTGCGGCTAGTTTGTCGCCAAATCACTCATACACTTTTAAGTATCACACTTGCATTCTTTTGACAATTGCTCTGGGACGGGATCAGCTGGAAAACTGTTTTGCTGTCTTTCTTTGCTTGGAGTCCACCCAAACATTTTCTTTGCATATCATGCCTTTGCTCTCCCCCAAACACCTTTGGAACTTGACGCTCCTACTGTGAACATCTTAGTCTCCTAGGCGCAGCCAAGGAGGGGTGCTGTGCATCTGAGCTGCAATAATGCAGGAGCATTCAACTATGTGCAACTGTGCAACTTTTTGATTCTTCTCGCATATAGTTGCGTCAAACTCTTAGTTCTTTCTGTGTCATGTCGATCTCCTCAGCTCAGAGCACATTTTGCATGATGAGGCCACCGCCCCCACCACCCCCAGCTCCCGGCCGAGCGTCTCCTGTTGGCAGCGCAGGTCACACAACGTGTTTATTTTTTTGCAAAACGATGCTCTACGCTAGGGCTAGGGCAGGTTGCACTGCCGCAACATACTGAGATGTGCAACTCATATGGATTCGTGATTCGTGCATTGTAATTACAGCAATTGCAATTTGAACTTGTAGTTGTAGTGATGCCGTGATGCCGCTGTGCCAACTTCTTCAGGAGCCTATCCAAATTACCCAAATGGCTTTGCCTCATATCCAGCAGTCCAACCCGTCGCTCAAGCTGCAGCTGGAGTTGTCAGGTTTGTGATGTCCCTACTGCGCAAAACATACACTCCGTCGGACCCGAGCTGTAAAATGCGTGACTAAGGCATACAACACTTCTCATTATTCCCATCCTAGCCCATGCCGGTCATCACCACAATATACAGGCCTGTGCAAACTTAAATGAATAACTAACAGTAGAGTGTCCAAGAACCAAGTTTGCGAAGGCCGATACTGAATCCAGTTGCTGCAGGGCACCCAGTCTCGTAATTTGCTCACTCGACAGATTTGACAGCGCTGAGGACTCGGAGATGTTCTTCACAGATCAAGTTTCTGAGTTCTGTACATTAGATCACACAACTGTGATCATTGTACCAATAGTGTCACATTGAATATGAGGACATTCAAAGGCCCTTGACATGATTCATTGAGCTGAACCACGTTTGAAGTTTTGATGTTTAATGCAATTTAGCTTCCCCAAGATCATCCCGCCCTCAGAGTTACATTGCAGACAGCTGCTGGTCGTTACTGCTGGGCCGCCGATTGCCCAGAGAGGTATTCGGGGCTTTGCAGCATTACCCGAACGGTTTCCCTTCGGTTTCCCCCTCGCCACCAGAGCGGGCAAAGGGAGAAGAGCTGGATTACCTTGGTCCAAGTCCAGAGATCCAGATGGAGAAGACGAAGACCATTTGCTGCGAATGCTCAACATCAAGCGGCAAAAGGTACCAGACTGCTCAACTCAAAACTTCCAGTTGGGCAACTTGATGAAGCCATCAGACATGCATATTGGCTGCAGAACTACCTTTACAAATTTACAACAGACAAGCCATGAAGCAGATGCGAGCAAGGAGTTGTTCGACATTTGACCTATGCAAAACATTGTTTTGGTTTGTATTGTTGCATATCATCAACAGATACTGGCATGGGATCAGAGTTTAAGTTTAATCATCATGCAACTTGTAAAATCTAGCCGATGCAATGCAAACAACATCAGCTATGGGACATGTGAATCAATGGCAGATGACATTCTGGCCACACTAGGCGACAAAAGGGTGGTGAACGCATGTGAATGCTACAGCATGGGGGTTGTCTAACATCTCTGAAAGTGAGATTGGGGTCCGCGAGTCATCTGTATTTAAGGAGGCTGTTGCGAACGGCTACCGACCCCAAACTTTTTGCTAGCCTCGGACTTGCCTTGGACGGGGTTGGAGGCAGCAGGCCCTCTCCATTACTCCTGCCCAGCACCCTACGATGTGAAGTACCCTCAGTTCAACAAACTGCCAAGGAACTGCGTCGCTGGGGAATCGAATGTTCTAGATTCTAGTGTGCAAGTCACCAGGGAGACTCCGGTATTTCCCAAAGCATGAAGAAGTGCCAGTGTCAGAGAGACCTCACTGTTTGCTGGACTCAAGATGTAGCCCTTCAGGTTTCCCTAAAAATCTAGAAACCAAATCATTAGCATGAGCTATCCTGCGTCCAGTTGCTAGAAGCTTAAGCAGCTAGGAGCTTCCTCCCTTACTTAATTAAGTCGCCAACTTAATTAAGTAAGGGCGGGCTTAAACAAAAACATCCCTCCGGGTCGGAAACAGAACGTGTGGTTGTGTACATTTGTCAACATGAGAATGTGTCCCACACCAGAAAAACCTTGTAAAAATCAATATCACAAAAGGTTGCTAGGCAACCTTGAGTTTGATAAGCTTTAGCTTAGAAGCGGGATTCTCCTCCATGACCTGATTTTGGGGTTTTCCAAAGGACTTTAGTGTTCGGGAAGGGCCCCCCCCCACCCCGCTCTAAAATCAAATCCCCCCTGGCCCCTGGGACGAATCACTTCTCTCAATTGTATCGTTTGGATTCGAATGAATCTGCTGCTGCTGCTGCTGCTGCTTGGTGGTTTGTTGCTGGTTTGCTGCTGGTCTGCTCTGCTGCTGGTCTGCTCTGCTGCTGGTCTGCTGCTGCTGCTGGTCTGCTGCTGGTCTGCTGCTGCTGCTGGTCTGCTCTGCTGCTGCTGCTGGTCTGCTCTGCTGCTGCTGCTGGTCTGCTCTGCTGCTGCTGCTGGTCTGCTCTGCTGCTGCTGCTGGTCTGCTCTGCTGCTGCTGCTG